CAGCTACGTGACATATGCAAATCAGATGTGGTTACGTATTGTGTGACGTCATCTAGAGACTTTTAGCGACAGAGAGCCAATAGTGACTTCTGGTGAGATTTTTTTGGCAACACTGTTCAGAGGTAGTCTCAGAACTCAAACCATCGGACCTTGGAGAGATCATGAGCCATTCTGTCTTCGCCTTGCGGCAGCAGTTCTTACTGTAGCGGTGACCGTGATACCAGCAAAATGGCGGCTTAAACATGTCAGATCCTCAGAGGTTATTTCAGCATGAAGTGTTTGACGATGTAGTTTATGTTGGAATAGCTGCTCAGAGTCACCACCTTCTCCTTAGATCTGACTTTACGGAGTTGATGTAAATGGCTGATGTAATAGTAATAGTTGAGTCCAAGATTGTACTGCTTTCACCAGGCCTAGAGCAGAGAGGTATAAACCTGGCACTATCACTCTGAACTGCACTGCATTCACCAGGCTTACAGCAGAGAGGTATAAACCTGGCACTATCACTCTGAACTGCACTGCATTCACCAGGCTTACGGCAGAGAGGTATAAACCTGGCACTATCACTCTGAACTGCACTGCTTTCACCAGGCTTACAGCAGAGAGGTATAAACCTGGCACTATCACTCTGAACTGCACTGCTTTCACCAGGCTTACAGCAGAGAGGTATAAACCTGGCACTATCACTCTGAACTGCACTGCTTTCACCAGGCTTACAGCAGAGAGGTATAAACCTGGCACTATCACTCTGAACTGCACTGCTTTCACCAGGCTTACAGCAGAGAGGTATAAACCTGGCACTATCACTCTGAACTGCACTGCTTTCACCAGGCTTACAGCAGAGAGGTATAAACCTGGCACTATAACACTGAACTGCACTGCTTTCACCAGGCTTACAGCAGAGAGGTATAAACCTGGCACTGACACTCTGAACTGCACTGCATTCACCAGGCTTACAGCAGAGAGGTATAAACCTGGCACTATCACTCTGAACTGCACTGCTTTCACCAGGCTTACAGCAGAGAGGTATAAACCTGGCACTGACACTCTGAACTGCACTGCTTTCACCAGGCTTACAGCAGAGAGGTATAAACCTGGCACTATCACTCTGAACTGCACTGCTTTCACCAGGCTTACAGCAGAGAGGTATAAACCTGGCACTATCACTCTGAACTGCACTGCTTTCACCAGGCTTACAGCAGAGAGGTATAAACCTGGCACTATCACTCTGAACTGCACTGCTTTCACCAGGCTTACAGCAGAGAGGTATAAACCTGGCACTATCACTCTGAACTGCACTGCTTTCACCAGGCTTACAGCAGAGAGGTATAAACCTGGCACTATCACTCTGAACTGCACTGCTTTCACCAGGCTTACAGCAGAGAGGTATAAACCTGGCACTATCACTCTGAACTGCACTGCTTTCACCAGGCTTACAGCAGAGAGGTATAAACCTGGCACTATCACTCTGAACTGCACTGCTTTCACCAGGCTTACAGCAGAGAGGTATAAACCTGGCACTATCACTCTGAACTGCACTGCTTTCACCAGGCTTACAGCAGAGAGGTATAAACCTGGCACTATCACTCTGAACTGCACTGCTTTCACCAGGCTTACAGCAGAGAGGTATAAACCTGGCACTATCACTCTGAACTGCACTGCTCTCACCAGGCTAATAGCAGAGAGGTATAAACCTGGCACTATCACTCTGAACTGCACTGCTTTCACCAGGCTTACAGCAGAGAGGTATAAACCTGGCACTATCACTCTGAACTGCACTGCTTTCACCAGGCTAATAGCAGAGAGGTATAAACCTGGCACTATCACTCTGAACTGCACTGCTTTCACCAGGCTTACAGCAGAGAGGTATAAACCTGGCACTATCACTCTGAACTGCACTGCTTTCACCAGGCTTACAGCAGAGAGGTATAAACCTGGCAATATCACTCTGAACTGCACTGCTTTCACCAGGCCAATAACAGAGAGGTATAAACCTGGCACTATCACTCTGAACTGCACTGCTCTCACCAGGCCTAGAGCAGAGAGGTATAAACCTGGCACTATCACTCTGAACTGCACTGCTTTCACCAGGCTTACAGCAGAGAGGTATAAACCTGGCACTATCACTCTGAACTGCACTGCTCTCACCAGGCTTACAGCAGAGAGGTATAAACCTGGCACTATCACTCTGAACTGCACTGCTTTCACCAGGCTTACAGCAGAGAGGTATAAACCTGGCACTATCACTCTGAACTGCACTGCTTTCACCAGGCCAATAGCAGAGAGGTATAAACCTGGCACTATCACTCTGAACTGCACTGCTTTCACCAGGCTTACAGCAGAGAGGTATAAACCTGGCACTATCACTCTGAACTGCACTGCTTTCACCAGGCTTACAGCACAGAGGTATAAACCTGGCACTATCACTCTGAACTGCACTGCTTTCACCAGGCTTACAGCAGAGAGGTATATAGCACCTTTAGTGAGTTACCTGAATCGGTGCCACACTGAGATGAACCCCAGTGACAGTCACTCATTTTGATTATTTTTCTGAACTGCAGAAGTCATTCTGAACCATCACGTGTCTTTTGTGCCTGCTGGTATCAGTTTAATAGGATTTTCAATGGTGCTTTTGGAGGGTGAGATGGGTAGCCTTTTGCAAACTCCCTTCATTAGCTGATAGAGAAAGGGAAAGAGGAAAGGAGAAAATACCTGCTTCATTTAGTCTTTTGATCTTTGACTCATTCTAGGAAACTTTCCAGTTGACATTTTATACTTTCTTCAATACCTTCTCCTACACAATTTTAAAACTTTTAACCATATTTTCCACCAAGTTGTAATGCCCCTTGCCAACTGTAAAATGGTCATATCTCTGCAAAGACTTCTGTCAGTTTAGGGCAACTCACTCCAGCACAGGTGTGTTCTGAAATTCAGCTGGAACAGGCCATGTGAAATTCCTTGACTGGCCACAGGAGGTGCTGGAGACCCTATTTACCAAGTCTGAGATACTTTATGGTGTGTTTGGTCCAACATTTGAAGCATTTCGGCCTGGCTCGTACCCTCTGAGGGTCAAAGGTAAAATGTGGCTGAGTACTGGGGGAAGGCTGACCTTACACTGACCATTAAGGGTGACCCCAAAAACACTGATGTCCAGTCTCTTGACCCTCCCCCCATCCCCCCAGAATTCTTCAGGCTCTTCCACGGTACAGAAAGAGAGAAGGGGAAAAGTGGATCAAAGTCGATAGACCTGTTGAACCAGAGTAGCGCATTAGCTGCAGCCCGGCTCTGAATTATTGATGTGGAGCTGCCGCCTGGAGGCCATTACGGCTCCTCTGTTTCCTCTTGACCCACCATTTTCCTCCTGACATCAGACTGTCTTCCCGATCTCGTCCTTGCACGGGGTGGGGTCGGGCTGGAGCAGAGTGCTGATGCTGGGAGGCGTTGGTGTCTGTGGAGGTGGGGGGGGTGGGGGGGGGGGTGAGTGATTGTTGGGTGGAGGGGGGAGTGGGGCGCAGCAGCTGGGTCAGGCCCGGTATTTTTAGCTGCGCCTCGGTAATCGATACGCCGTCGGGAGCCGAGGGGAACCTTTGGCCCCCTCTCTTCCATCCCGATGAGTACAGAGCGGCTCTGTAAATTAGGGCAGGGCCGAGAGCCATCGATCAGGCCCGTGTAAAGACCAGAGTGTGGGAAGGTTGTTCTGCCAGCTGCCTCCGCACCCGGGAGGAGGAGGGGTGGGGGTTTGTGTGTGTGTGTGTGTGGGTGGGGGGGGGGGGGGGGGGGGGTGGGGTCGGTCTGAGCGAGGCAGCCTGCAGCACCAAACTTTATCTGCTGGCCTTCAAAAACAGTTCCAAGGGGTTACTCGCAAAATGTCCTCCATTTTGTCATACGTCTATTTAATTTTTTAAATCTCTGTTTAGCCTTTTTGGGATGCTGTTGAATGTCCCCGCCAGTGATCATAAAGTTGAATTATATTGTAATGTGTTGATACAGCATTGTAAATACAAACTATAAACAAACTAGGATGAGTCCAGTGTGATGGTAATTGCTTGTGTCTTCTGTCTTTTTTTGTTTGCCGTTCTACTTGTATTGACAAAACATTTTAGGTTATTTGCACTCCATACATTAAGTGTTAATTACACATAATCGTCATATCGACCATGCTTCTTTTGGGTGTAACTGGACACTAAAATGTTCACTGTTAATTTAACACCAACAGTGCACATATGAGTACAATTGCACTGTGTGGGAGAGTAGCATAACACCTGCAGAACTGGGCTTGTGACTCAGCGTTTACAGGTTCAATCCGCTGTTGTCGGACCCTGAAGGAGGGGACTCCATCTGGACTGTAGAAGTCTATTTAGGCAGGGAGTCGTTTGCTGCCTCTGTCGCCCTTGGCTTGCTGTGGGGAGCACTCAGGCCGGGGATGTAGCTAAAGCTGCTCCTGTGATGATGTTCTTGTCAAATAACACTGAATTGAACTCGACCGGAATTTAACACCCAAGTATATAAACATATGTAAAGAACAATATGCTGTGTATGTCACTAAATGCAATGTGAAGAGTCATATGGTGAAAGTTATGATTGGCCATGATGTTGACAGTGGGTTAGAGGTATTTAGCTGGCAGGGTTTTATTCTGCTTATCGCACTGCACCCTCTGTAACTGTCCGTCATGGTTCCTATTATCAGCAACTGCTCCTCTGAGACACTGAAGGCCTGCAGTCTGTCTGCCCCAGCTACGCATGTCCTGCCCCGCCAGAATCACAGCTGCGCAGCTCAGCTGCTGCACTGAGCTTACTGCACATGTGCACGCACAGACACACACACACACACACACAGGTGTGAGCAGCGCCCTCCTAAATTCCCAGCATGATAATGAGTGTGTGATAGCTAATGGGTATCAACGAAATGGTGATAAAATAACAGTGCTTTATGGCCTCTGATGGCTTTTAGCTCTGCCGTAACCTTTTTATAACTTTACAGAGTGCCTATTTATGGCTTCAGCATAATGGTGTAATGGTTATGGAGCTGGGCTTCTAACCCAGAGGTTGCAGGTTTGATTCCCATGTGCAAGGCTTCTAATCTCAAATTCCTTAGGAAACAACAATCCAGCTGTTTAAATTTACTACGTCTAAAATGACTTGTGTGTCACAGTGCCCTGTTCTGGATAATGTGATAATCTGTATAAATGTCTTGTGTGTGAAAATGGCCAGGTAGCCCTGGATCTGCTAAATGTTATATGTCTAATGTATCATTCTGATGGTTACAGTGTAGTGTAATGGTTAGGGAGCTGGGCTTGTATCTCAGAGGTTACAGTGTAGTATAATGGTTAGGGAGCTGGGCTTGTAGCTCAGAGGTTACAGTGTAGTATAATGGTTAGGGAGCTGGGCTTGTAGCTAAGAGGTTACAGTGTAGTATAATGGTTAGGGAGCTGGGCTTGTAGCTCAGAGGTTACAGTGTAGTATAATGGTTAGGGAGCTGGGCTTGTAGCTCAGAGGTTACAGTGTAGTATAATGGTTAGGGAGCTGGGCTTGTAGCTCAGAGGTTACAGTGTAGTGTAATGGTTAGGGAGCTGGGCTTGTAGCTCAGAGGTTACAGTGTAGTATAATGGTTAGGGAGCTGGGCTTGTAGCTCAGAGGTTACAGTGTAGTATAATGGTTAGAGAGCTGGGCTTGTAGCTCAGAGGTTACAGTGTAGTATAATGGTTAGGGAGCTGGGCTTGTAGCTCAGAGGTTACAGTGTAGTATAATGGTTAGGGAGCTGGGCTTGTAGCTCAGAGGTTACAGTGTAATATAATGGTTAGGGAGCTGGGCTTGTAGCTCAGAGGTTACAGTGTAGTATAATGGTTAGGGAGCTGGGCTTGTAGCTCAGAGGTTACAGTGTAGTATAATGGTTAGGGAGCTGGGCATGTAGCTCAGAGGTTACAGTGTAGTATAATGGTTAGGGAGCTGGGCTTGTAGCTCAGAGGTTACAGTGTAGTGTAATGGTTAGGGAGCTGGCCTTGTAGAGCTTACAATGAAGTGGAATGTCCTGCCATTGAACCCTAGGGCAAGGTTCTTCACCTGAATTGCTTCAATAATATAAAATAATCATAAATAATTCATAATATCCAGCTGAATGACTGAATAGTGTGTAAAAATGTGAACTGCGTTAGTGCTAGTCACTCTGGATAAGAGCCTCTGCTGTAACGTGCTGAGAAAAGCTTTGACTGGAGGCCTCACAGAGGGAATACTTTCATCTGGTGGAACAAAAATGTCTCACGCCAGTGACCACCACATGGTGACTCATGCTGGTGTGCATCTTATCCTGGATGCAATGCATCATGGGCTTTATTTCTGAAAGATGAACCAACAGAAATATGTATGACATATGAAGGTTTTCAAGTAAACAAAAGTGGAGGGAGGAGGAGCAGCGGCCGACATCACACATTTCAGAGGCCAGCGGATGCGTCTGTAAATGTGTCTTGTGAATGTGTCCTGCCCGCTCTGAACCGACAGGATACTGTGCAGCTGTGCGTGCAAATACATAAATCAGATATTCAAAATCAGGAGAGTGTGGTTTTTAAAGCCAAGGTTTTTAAAAAAGAGAGCGCAAAAAAAAAAAGAATGTTGCATTATGCTTAATGCTATAATGTAATGTAATGTAACATAGAGAAATGATTGCATATGTTTGCAGCAGAGAGAGAGAGCTGGTTTGGGCTTGATGGTGGTCGCAGATGCCTGGCAATTTAAGGAGCCAGACGCTGAGGACCGGGCCCGTCTCACTCGCCCCAGCCATGTGAGCCGTGAGCTGTGAGCGTCTTGTGAGCCTCATCCGCTCTGTGATCCCTGGCTGTGACAGGACAGACGGGAGAAGCGTTGTCAAAATGACAGAAGGGTGCCCGCGGCAACCGGGCTGCCTGTACAGCACATAGGTGGGGTGACACCCTGGTCATGTTTCAGACCTGTTTTGCACCGTTCTGTTCCACAGCACCAGCGGAGCGCTAACATTCAGACAACGCTCCAGCTATGTTTTTGAAACATAGCACGTTGGATGGCCCTGCTACAATGTATTACAATACCTTACATTCATTTAGTTGATGCTCTCATACAGAAAGACTTACAAAGCGAGACAACATTAACATGAATGATTTGTATTAGTGATATAGACTGAACAAACAACAGTCTCAGTCTTTAACATTGCAAAAGCACTTAACTATGCCAGCCCAGAGCTGCACCACTCCCTCTCCTAGCCAAGCACAACAAAAACATTGTGGCAATGTTTTTTTTTTAATTTTGCATGTTTCATCCTTTCCACCACACGAGAGAAAGGATTGAGGACAGCAGGTCACGGGTGCCAGTTGGTGCCGGTTAGCATCCGTGGCTAATGTGGGTTCATCCCAGGTGAACCGCTGGCTCTCCCTGCCTCGACCCAGCACCCTGGAACTAAAGCCTGACCCAACCCCCCCACCCGGGAGCTGGCAGGGTAACGTTCCCTACAACCAGGCTGTTACATTCCCGGCAACCGTGCTCCTAAACTGTGTCAAACCCTCTGCCCTTTGGGTGACTAATGTAGCAAAAACAAACACACTCTGACAGCTGGCATCCTGGCCCTTATCTCCCCCCACCGCCCCACACCAAAAGGCCATGCCACTGGCCTGCAGGGGGCAGCAGCTCTCCCCTCAGTCTCCAACGAGGCAACTGGGAACGGGTCTTAAGAGCCACCGTGTGTGTGTGGGTCTGTGTATGTGTGTGTGTGTGTATGTTTGAGTGTGTGTGTGTGTGTGTGTGTGTGTGTGTGTGTGCATGTGTGTGTGTGTGTGTGTGTGTGTGTGTTTGTGTGTGTGTGTGTGTGTGTGTTCCAGGCAAATGGGCTTTCTCTGAACTTTTAAATTTGAATGTTTTTGTGTCAACCTTCCAAAAAGTTTGATTGAAACTGTAAGGGTTGATAACGATAGCATACAAAAAAAGATGCTTTCAGAAAAAGTATCAACGTAACTGACAGTTAGACAACTTAACAACTTGAATTATTGTAAGAAGATTCAATAAAATCGAACACTTGCGGATATTTTCTGAGATAACTCCCATTTGGGCACACGACTCCCTTAATTCAGTGTCTATGTTTGTTTGCAGAGAACTACATCCTCAGACCTACTGTGTGCGTTTGCAAACATTCACAGTGAGCTCAAAGCAAACGAAAAACTGTATGAAACATTCGTGAATGTCTGCCTTTGTTTCCTATTTTGAATGCACCTCTCTGGCGAGACACCTTGAAGGGTTATGATGTAGATCAAGCTCAACCAATCAGGACGAGGGCATGGCCCCTCAAGAGCAGTGAAGGTTCCGGATGGCCCTCTGCAATGTGTGTGAATGTCAAACGGCACAGGATCTGAGCAAAAGCCAGCCTGCAGACCTTAGCGATGCCAGCATTTGTGTGACACACCACAAATACCCTCTCATAAACAGCAGACAGGCCTGAAAGCTGAAGTCTAATAATAACATGTGACAGCAATCAGGATTTGAAATAAGTAAGTGGCTGCAGAAATAGCATCCCATGGAAACAGGTCAGCTACATACTTCTATTAAACTGTCCTGAACCATTTTTTTTCAATAAACAATCACAAAGTGATTTCCTCTTTTACTAAATGATATCAAATGTAAAAACATTACCCCATTATCCCATTAAACCATTTTTAACGTAAACCGTTTACTGTTTTTTTTTGGACTGCTGTCCATCAGCCCTAGTGAATGGCTGTCCCTCACAAACACAGGTGTAGCACTTCATACACACAGCTCCTCTGCTTCATGTGATAGTCAGCCTGCACTTCTTCCTATCTCACTGAGTTTTGGCGCATTTTCCCTTCTGCTTCACTGCATTTCCCACATAATGACAGACTCTCATAATGACAGACTCATGCAGAAAACACGCTCACATGGAAAATGCACTTAAATGGTGCGTAGCTGGGGACTGTGCTCAGCATGTATTGCCCATACTGTGGGCCTAAAACAATGTAAAATCTACAAAGGATCAAAGTAATGCACCTGGCAGGTGGCTGTTCATCCAGAAGAGGCTGGTGGAGGGTGTTGAGACCAAGGATCTCACCTGACCTTACCTTTTACTCTGCCCAGGTGAGACCAAGGATCTCACCTGACCTCACCTTTTACTCTGTCCAGGTGAGGCCAAGGATCTCACCTGACCTTACCTTTTTCCTATGTCCAGGTGAGGCTAAGGATCTCACCTGACCTTACCCTTTACTCTGTCCAGGTGGGCCCAGGTCAGGTGCTACCCGGCCAGTGTGTGGCCCCTCCCACAGCCCATTCAGGTGTGGCAAGAGCTCTAGCCCTCCAATGAGAGACCACCGCGAACTCCCGGAGCAACCCGCAGGCCCTGCACGTTACTCAAATTTAACTCCAACAAACAACATTTCTGTTACATTATGATTTAACATGTTTAAAAAAGACATCATGATGACTTTTAAACAGGAGAGAGTCACCTTTGCATTATAACTTAACATCATCATTTTATGCTAATGTACAACAAACTGTTATGACTAAAAAACGAATTACTTTAAATTATGAGGCGGGGCTCCTGCATTGAATATGATGAAATAACGACAGGAATCAGATGGTTGTGGGTCATTCTCATTAAAAGTGACACGCCTGTTAATGGCACAGAGCAGCGTAAAGTAGACTCATATTTATGGCTCTGAGCTGGTGTATTATCATCACATAAACCTGAGTTATGAGTCCTCTCTCCCATAGGTCACTGCCTGCCACTTATGAAATATGGGACTGTGCGCTGGGCCGGCCAATTACAGCAACAATGTCTTTTTGAGTCTGAGTAATTTTTTGCATTATTTTGTCTTTGTTGGTTGGGGGTGGGGGGTGGAGCTGGGGTGAATGGTGGGTTGGGGTTGGGTTGGTAACAGCCTGGGAACTCAAAAACCAGACAAAAAAATGGGTCAACATATAATGAAGGCGCAACAAAGAAAACATGTATGGACTCAAAAGCAAGTCACATAATTGTAATTGTAAAAAAAGGGTTCAATTTCAAACAAATCAAGAAGAAATGCAAAATTCTATAAGAACTGTAAT